CAGAGCAAAAAAAAAAATGAAGAAAACCAAAGATTCATGGAAACAATTAGTCCAAATGACTGGTATACCACACGATCCTTAGCCTGTATGACTTTGAGACCAGAAGAACTAGATCATGCCTGGCTACCACTGTCAACCACTCAGAGGGGGATCTCTGTAGGAGATCCTGGATTAAGTGGGAAACAACGTGGAACAAAACCCAAAATCATTTTTTTTTAAAAAAAGGGCCAGGTTTGCTGGTCTGATAGAGCCTGATGGACCCCCTGAGATTCTGGTCCCTAACTGCTCTTCAGTTAGGGCTTCCAGCCAAACAAAAGACAGGCGTATGAGTGGAACATTTACATTAGGTAGATACACTCCTTGGAAAGATCTATCATGGGAGAATAGAAGGGCTGCTTATGCACAGGGAGACAGCTCGGGGGGCAAGAGTGCGTGGAGCGAAGGACACAGGGAAGAGACAACTATGGGGAGGAAATGGGAGGGGAGCTGTTGCATTGTGTGAAATGGCAGTCAATGTCATGAGACAACATGTATGTGAGCTGCTGTATGGAAAGTGAATTTGCTCTGTAAACTTTCACCCAAATCACAATAAATAAATAAAATAAAAAATAAATTCTAAGAGAGGCAAAAATGAAAACACCATGGGGGAAGGAGGGTGATAAACCAAAGACTGGAAAAAAATTCTCAAAACATATCTGACAAAGGACTTGTATCCATAATATACAAAGAACTTTTAGAATTCAGTAAGGCAGAAAACCAATTTTTAAAAATGAGCAAAAGTGTTGAACAGATTTTTCACAAAGGAAAATATACCAAATGTCCACCTTTCACATAGAAACTTGTCAACATCACTAGTCATCAGGGACATGCAAGTTAAACTACAGGAAAGGACATCATGTTTGGTAAAGTAGGCCCATGAAAATGAGAGAAACCCTCAATAAGATGGATTGACACATAACCACAACAATGGACTCGAAACTTGAAGATGGTGTGGGACTGGGCAGTGTTTTGCATGTTCTATTTAAGGTCTCCATGAGTTGGAGTCAACTCGATGACAACTAACAACAATGAGAATATTTCACTACATACTCATTGTAGTGGTTAAAGTTAAAAATAAACAAACAAACTGGCAACCACAAGAGTTGAAGAGGGTGTGGAGTAACTGAAACCCACACACACTCTTGGTGGGAATGTAAAATGGTGCAGCTGCTTTGGGAAAATGCTTGTTTGCCAGTTTGAAGTCAAGTATATACCTCCTTTGGACCCAGCAATTCCTCTTCTAGATATTTTTTCCAAAAGAAGCTAAAGCATATGTCCACAAAAAGTTTTGGATGCTCATAGCAGCATTCATTCATAGTAAAAACCTGGGAGCCACCCAGATGTCTATCAGAAGGAAAATGGATGGAAACTACATGGGAGCTCTGGTGGCATAGTGCCTAAGGCATTTGACTGCTAACCAGAAGGCTGGTGGTTCAAACCCACCAGCTGGGAAGGAAGGTTGGGCAATCTACTTCTGTAGTGATACCACCTCGGAAACCCAAGGAGGGGTTGCTATGAGTTGGATCCGACTTGACAGCAGTGAGTTTGTTTGTTTTTGGTTTTTTTTTGGGTTTAGAGTCACAGTGTGGGTGGATCACAGAGGTATGCTGTTGAAGACAAGAGAAGATGATGCATGCCATTTCTAGAACGGACAGAAGCAATCTACAGTGAGAAACAGTCACAAGTGGGGAGAGATTAACTGGAAAGGGGCCTTGAGGAACTTATGGGATGGTGGACACATACTATATAATTTAGGGAGTGAGTTACACAACTGTATCCACTTGCCACAATTGTGTGTCTCAGACAGTTGTGTGTTTTGATGGGCAAATCTTAGCAGCAAGCTTGTGAAAAACCTACATAAGACATTTAGCCCCATGCCTGGCACACAGTAGGTGCTCAGTCACTGCAAGTGCACCTAGAAATAGGAGTCAGTCCTGTCTTAGAGATAGGCCAGGAGAGCAGTGGAGCAAGGCCACCACTTGGGGCACCTGCTCCAGGACCCAGCAGTCCCCACAGGCTCAGCTACATCTTTGGCCTACTGCAGAATGCTTCTTGGCCACTGCAGCCCTGACTGTCCCTTCCCTCTGTGGAATAACTCCCACACTGTTTGGGCTCGTAAGAAGGCTGGGTGCCCCCAGCCCCCAAGCTGAACAGGCTATACTTTGTATTTCTCTGAGCACCTCTCTGTCCTGACACCAAGCTTGACACGTCACTGAGTACTCGTACATGAGAGTGTGGTGTCAGAGCAGGGGGCTGGGACGTGGCAGAGCAAGACCATGGTCCCTGTGACATCTTCAGTGGGTCCCCGCCTCCCACCTGTGGAAAGGGAGCCTGTTGCTTCTCCAGGGCTGGTTCTGGGTGGTTTGCAGTGGGGCTGTACAGAGATCTCTGTTGGAAGGGTTAGTTAGTAATGAACATGGCATGAGAAAGGGGCTTGTCAGCTACTGCATCCCTGCACCCAGACCTTGAAGCCCCAACCAGGCTGCTTCCAGCCATTTGTATTCATTTCATCAACTCTCTGGATATTTAACAGTCAGAGTGCCCCACTTGTTTCTACATCCCCCTCCCATCAAAGCAAAGCCCACGTTTTTCATCAGATGCATGGATGGCCTCACTGGCCTGAGCAGCTTAGAAGCCTCCCTCCCTATCCCCTCAGTTCCACGCTGTCAGCATTCTCGACAGGAGCTTTGTCTCTAGCCTCGCTCTGTTGCACGACAAAAGTTTTGGGGGGCTGACACCTGCTGACAAGTGCCTTTGCCATGATGTGCATGGTCCCTGGAACCTGGCAGGCAGAGTAGAGGGGTATGCCCTCTGGGCATAGCATCTGGGGAAGGAGGGAGTTCTGGTTTGTGTACCAGTGACTGGTTCTAGAACGATCATCCAGACCCTCTAGGGAGACGGCCTTAGACACGGGCTAGCGAGAAAATCCATGAGTCATGAACATCCTTCCGTGCCTTAGGTTTCTTCCAGCTAAACCGCCGTCTCCAGAGTATGGCCTGCCCCGCTCTGGGTGGGCTCTGCACCCCATTTCAGTTCTCATGGACACACCAAGGTCCAGACAGACTCCTTATAGACAAGGGCAGGTGAGGCTGGGGAAAGAGAATGACCTGGGTTGTGGCTCTGTACTCCCTAGCCAATCACCTAGCCTCTGTTTGTGTCTCATCTGTAAAATGGCCATAGTGCTATCCACCAGGAAGGATTTTATGAGGCTAAGAAGAATAAATGTTTTAGAGCCAGGGGCTATTGCACAGAAGGGCTCCCAGATGGTAAATGGTTAGTCACAGGAGCATATTCACCTGGTCTCTCATCACAGTGAGATAGTCCCTGCTAGCTTTTAGAGGCCAGCTTCCTCACGGCTGTAGTGGAAACCCTGGGTGGTGCATACGATTAAGTTCTCAGTGACTAACTGAAAGGTTGGTGGTTCAAACCTACCCAGAGGCACCTTGGAAGACAAGCCTGGGATCTGGCTCCGAAGGGTCACAGCCTTGTAAACCCTATAGAGCAGTTCTCCTCTGTACACATGGGGTTGCCATGAGTCAGAGTTGATTGGATGGCAACTGACAATAAAGTACCTGTTGTTGTTATGTGCCGTCGAGTCGGCCCCGACTCATGGCGACCCCTCCTTGGTTTTCCAAGGCAGTATCACTACGGAAGTAGGATTGCCCAACCTTCCTTCTGAGGAGTGGCTGGTGGGTTTGAACCACCAGCCTTCTGGTTAGCAGTCAAGTGCTTTAGCCACTATGCTACCAGAGCTCCCAAAGTACCTGTAGTGGTGCAGAAATAAAGTGAAATCATCAAGAACAGCAGGGACTGGGCCCTGCCTTTGGAGACTACATGGGTTTTTGCAGCTGAGTTATCCTCCCCAATTAGGTTTTTCTTAGGGTAATGTTGCAAAGCTTCTGTGTTCTGGCACATTCTCTCCTTCCCTTTCTTCCTCTTCTAGAAAGGAGTGGAGGGCCCTCTCGAAATAGGTATCTTGCAGTGTTTCCCTCCCATGCCTACCTCTGTAGCCCCTCCCCCTCCAGCTGTGCCCCAAGGCCATGTGGCCCCCCTGTAGTAGTGTGCCACTGCACCCAGCCATAGGCCCTTTGCACATGCTGATGGCCCTGCCCATAGTCCCCTGCCATTGCCTGTCTAGCTCACTCCTGCACATCCTTCCAAACTTAGTTCAAATGTCATTGCCTCAGGGAGCCTTGCCTGACAAGCCCCTGTGCCCTTAGACAGACTGGCTCTTCTTGTCACACACTGAGCATGTTTGTCAACGTTTGCCATACTTCATCTGAGAATTCTCTGGTCACTATCTGTCCTTCCCAAAGACTGTGAGCTCCTTGAAGCCAGGGACCCACTGGGCTCTAGATAGCCACAGCCCTTCTCCAGAACTGTGGCAGGGGGTACCTGGTATCTGGAAAGTTCCATGGGACAGGCTGAAGACTCTACACTTCTGTCCTTCACACAGGATATGGGGTGGGGAAGACCTGGGACACTGGACCTTGGGGCCTTGGATCACAGACATAGGCAGTGGGGGAGGTTTTGGTCTGGAAGCTGGGGTATAGGTGCTACCCAGAGCTGGCCAGGACCAGGACCTGTTCTAGTAACCCTGTTGGCTGGCTGTGAGAAAATCTGATACAGGTGGGATCTCATTCCTGGGCCTCCAATGTGTGTCCCCTTCATTGTCTATGGAACCAGAGAAGCTGAGGTGTTCTTGCACTAGGGCATCCAGACACACAAACCACGTGGACAGAGCGGGAAGTGTCAGGGTTCCGGGGGTGCTCACATCCATCCTACAGGAGATGCTGGCTGTGCTGTGTGTGGGCCCTCGTGCAGCCCCAGAGCCGGGCTCTGGCCATCCCACCACCTCCTATGGTCCCTCTTGAATTCTTCCTGCAGACATGCCCTGCTGCTGCTCCCCAGGCTAGGGTGGCCTCAACCTCTTCTGTCTAACTGCTTTCCTCCTGTCGCAGTGAGCATGACCTGGGGGAGGACATTTATGACTGTGTCCCATGTGAAGATGAAGGGGACGACATCTACGAGGATATCATCAAGGTGGAGGTGCAACAGCCCATGGTAAGTGCCCGCCGGGCACCACCCTGCCTTCCGCGGGGCATTTGGATTGTGCAGGGTAGCCTGGCTGTTGTGACAGGATCCTACACCAATCCCATGCTGGAGTCCTGCCAAGGGAGAGCCACTCCCTCAGTCTTGCCTTGTCCCCATGGGGGTTCCTCTAAGGAACATTGTGGAAACCCTGCCCTGGGCCCAGCCTGCTCTGTACCCTTTTTTCCTATCGGGATTTTGTAAGGAAACCCAGAGGTGACATTGAGATCTTCCAGAAGATGTTTTGTGGGAGAATTCTGTTCCAAAGGGTTTGCAGGGTTCCAGGTCCTCTGTGCCCCAGGAGCCTCCCGGTACTGAGGGCTGAGCCATACACAATGTGAGCCGCCTTCTCCCTTTGTGCGGGAGCGAGGAGACCGAGGGCCTCAATTAGCCAGCTGTGCGCCTTTTATGTGGTGGGTATATTTATTTCCAAGCAGGCGCTAGCTAATAATCTCTCGGACGCCAGTTTGCACCAGAGCCGGTTTATTGCCAGCAGCTGCTATACAGAGGGGTCCTGCGGGTGGGTGGGAGGTAGGGCTGGGGAACAAGCCATAGCTCCTTGCTGTGTGCTGGGGGACAAGCCGCAGCTCCTCACCGTGTGCTGGCGCACCAGGCCCCCAGGGGCAGCTGTGCAGGCTCCTGGTGCATTTGCTTTCACTGAAACTCCTCAAAAAGCAAGATTTTGTGTTGTTCACCGTGCATGCAGTACAACCAGCGGATGGCGGGGAAGCAGACAACTGGGAAACCCCCCCTGGGGAGACCTATCCAGGCTTCCCATCCTGGCAGCGCTGGGTGGTTGGGGGTGGGGGGAGGGTGCTAGGTAGGACCCCAGGACCCCTCTCTGGCCTTCCATAGACACTGTTCTTTAAAAGCAGTTTCTCATTTGGCCTCTGAAGGGTCTGTCTCTCTGCAAAGAGGAGGGGATTTTCCTAGAGTTGGCAAAGCCCCACCCCCCATCCCCCACCCCATGCTCCGAGCAGCCTGCCCTGCCAATTCCTCTCCTGATGGCTCTGGACCAGTCAGGTAGTAAGGCTGGAAGGCTGTGCTGGCCGGCTGACAGATGGCTGTGCCTGCCTAACCCAGAGCTAATCGGCAAAAAAAAACCCACTGCCATCAAGTGGACTCATGGTGACCCCTGTGTGTCAGAGTAGAACTGTGCCTGATAGGGTTCTCAGTGGCTGATTTTTCAGAAGTAGATGACCAGGCCTTTCTTCCAGGATGCCTCTGGGTGGACTTGAACCTCCCCAACTTTTCAGTGAGCAGCCAAGCATGTCCACCATTTGTGTCACCCAAAGACACTTCCTGTCAGAGTCTGCAGAGCTTTCAGAGGCTGGCGAGCCTTTAGAGGCTGGCAACCCACTGAGACTAGGCCCAATTTATTCCCACAGCCCTAGAGAGCTAGGTGCCCCAAGAGAGACCATGGGAAGGAATAGTGGTCAGCAAGGGGTCTTCAGAGACCCCTCCCTGGCCACACACACTCTCCAAAGAACCCATCTGTGCCTTCAGAGGTGGTGAGATGAGCATAGGTGCCTGCTGAAGCTTGTGGAGTTCCTCTAGGGCATCAGTCAGGCTCTGAGCCCCCACCAGGGACCTGGGGTTCACCCCAGAGCCTGCCATGGTAGACAGTGAATGACTCGCAGGCCCTCAGGTCGCACTGCCTTCCCCCTCCTGTGCAGTGTGCTGACCGTCTGTGTGTTCCCAGGGCAGCCCTGATGGTGCAGGCAGGGTAGGTCCCTGTGTCCTGCCAGCATCCTTACTGAGCTAGCTCAACTGGCTTTATCTCCTTCCCATCATGTCTGCCGTTGTTTAGATGGCCCAATTGGGAAGGGATAGGGATGTTCCAAAGGAACATACAGCTGGAGGGTGGCGGGTGCTGCTTCCAGAGTCAGGCTGGAGCCCCCGGGCCCTGTTGAGCCAGCATGTGGGAATGGGCGGTGGTGGGGTTCCTGATGCTGTTGGTGAATGTGGGAAGAATGTATGGCTTTCTGAGTGCAGCTTGTGGTTGCGAGGTCAGGGCTGCTAACTGGCTGTCGTTTCTCTTCCACGCTCTCAGATCAGATACATGCAGGTGAGTGGCAGGGGAGGGTTGCCTGTACTGTCCCCCTTGGCCTTCGGGGAGGTCCTGGGCTCTTCGAGGACCACACATCTTACCTACTTTTGGAGGAACCATGGCCCCCAGTACCTTCCCCCTCAATAACTGAGCACCCTCAGGCTGGCAGAGCCGTGGGCTCAGGAGGGAGACTTGAGGACATCCAGTGACCTTGGTGTCCAACCCTCCACAGCCCTTGTATGTGGCACCCTGTATTGCATATTGCTTTGGGGAGCCAAGGCCCCTGGAGACTGGAGCAGAAACCTCAGGGTGTTTCTTGGAGCGGGGATGAGGTTAGGGCTGATGGAGTCCAAATGGCAGAACACAGGTCAGTGCTGCCCCCAGAGCCCATAGGGATATGTGGCTGCCCAGTCCCAGAGAACTTAAAAAGCGTGTTGGAAACACCTAGGACTGCCCCAAATTCTTCCCAGACCTTTTCCTCCAGCCTTGTGGGGTGATGAGTTTTTCTTGAGGCAATAATGGGTGGTCCCTAGGGTGTCTGCTCAGCTGGTGGATATCAGCCCCGAATGCCTATCAGCATTGCTAGCTGTACACAGAAAATGTTTTGCACACAGTGGGCACTTTAAGTGTGTTAGCCCGCCCATGTGTACTGCAGAATTCCAGGTTCCTCCTGGTTGGTGAGGAACTGGGGTTCAGAATCAATCAGGGAGGAAGAGCAAGAAAGAGCTGGAGATGACAGAACCTTCCTTGATGCTGCTGCCAGTCCTCAGGTCCAAGTCATGTCCCTTTCCTGCACCTCATCTGCAAAACAGAGGGGAGGCCTTGATCCCTGTTGCCCTATGTCTCCACTACTTCCCCTCAGAGGCCGAGATTCAACCCAAGCCAGCAGCCACATCCTATTTTGTGCAATTCTCTTGGGTGCACTGTGGAGGGGCTGGGATCTCACGTGGAAACAGGCAGGCCCCATTCATACCCACATCTCACACCCATGTCCTTTCTCCAGAAAATGGGCATGACAGAGGATGACAAGAGGAACTGCTGCTTGCTGGAGATCCAGGAGACGGAGGCCAGGTACTACCGGACACTCGAGGACATCGAGAAGGTGAGGGGCTACGGACAGAAATTACCTGCATGGAGTCATAGGCCAGACCTGGGACAGCTTGGACAGATTGGAGTGTGCAGTCCTCCTGAGTCAGGTGCCCCCACCAAAAAGGCAGTTGCCCTGACCTCTGCTGGCACCCTCAGGCCATCTGCACCCCACTCAAGCTACCAGCTCTAACCAGGTGGCCTCTCTTCAGCCACCCACCCTATAGCCCACCCAGACGTGCTGCTTCCTGCTGGAGTCTTCATTGGGCCCTGGCTCATCTCCATACTTGTCTCTTCTCCCCCTTTGAGCCTGATGAACCATGATTTTGCCTCCTTCCTGAGCACTCCAGGCCTGGTACTGACCATGGCTCTTTCCACTTAGCCCCATGTACTTCTCAGAGCAGGGTGACTGTGGCATGTGCAAGGGGAGGGTGATATAGTCCTTACTACTGAGGGCCTCTGGAGCCAATGGGACAGTTTATACAGGTTCAACCTCACCTACCATCACACCTGAGGCTGGTGGGGGTAGGGGGTGATAAGACTGAATTCTCCAAGCCCCAGGTGGCCTTTGGGAGACCTCCAAGAGCACAGATTGGGTGTTGGGGTATTGAGTGGGAACCTTGGACCTGCCACCTTCTGGCAGGTGCCCTGGGTGATGGCCTTCCCTCCTGGCCTCAGACCTCCTCAAACAGCAACCACACACCCTCCTCTGGGCTGCTGGTGGGTTTCTCCCCAGTAGCAGGCATGAAGGGCACACAGAGCTGTGCTGATGCCATGGGGGTATGCTCTTGTCTGCTACGGGGCAGGGATCTGCCTCCACATGTCTGCCCTGTCCTTGCAATAGCCAGAATGCATGCACTGTCCAGCAAGCATTGAGCACTGACTGTGTGCAGTGGCAGGCATAGTCTGACATTGGCCCCTCAGCCATGGCCAGGCCCTCCTGCCAGCAGCAGTGGCCCAAGGAAATGGCACAGACATGACACTTTCTCTCTTACAGAACTACATGAGCCCGCTGAGACTGGTACTGAGCCCCGGGGACATGGCAGCCATCTTCATCAACCTGGAGGTTAGTCTGAACCCTGGCCTGTGCCCAGCGATCCATCAACACAGCCAGGCTCCCACAGTACCATCCCTCCCTGGAGTCCATTACCCAGGCCTGGTTATAGAGGATCTATGTGACTGATGGAAGGAGTACAGCCACCCTTCCTGGGACTTTCGTCTTAGGAGATGGAGGATGTGGTCTCAGGGTAGTGCATGAACAGCTAGCTACCTGGCAAGTGAACTGTAGGGGTGCACACACCTTGGAAGAGGCACTGGCTACCCCCAGGACTGTTGATGGGGTTTCTGCCAGCAGCCTGTAAGAAGCGTGCCCCCAGCCCTGAGCGGACCACTGTGTCTGCTCCTCAGGATCTTTGGTAGGGCTCATCCTGACCTACCCAGCCGGGCAGGAGAGGTCTGACACAAGGTTCTAGGAGCTGCTCACAGGTGAGTTTCCTCTAGAACCTTCCACAGGATACCAATAGCTATCTCTCCAGCCTCCCATTAGCCTGGGGTGGGTGCTGATCATGCTTTCTGGATGAGGCTGACCCAGACATTGTTCTGCTCATTGTGGGCCAGGATTGGGTCCAGGATAGAGGACACAGAAAAGCAGCCAAAAGAAGAGAAGGGGGCAGTCCAGGTACTGCCTGCTGGTCACTGTCTGCTCTAAGATATGAGGAAACACTCCTTCCCAGTATAAGGCCCTGACTCTTAGGGAGGGACCCCTCTTGCAGAACCCCAAGTCCCTGCTGGGAGCTCTGTGCTCCAGCTCACTGTGGAGAGAGGACAGTTCCAGGGTGCTGGCTGGGAGCTGCCTATGCCATTCAGTGCTGCCCAGTTCTGGGTGGCCCTCCCGTGTCCTGATGGTCCTCTGCGAACTGTGGACTCTCCCACGCTCCCAGACTATGTGACGCTCCTTGAAAGCACTCAGGTCCTGGTGCACCTATTGGGTAGAACATTCCAACTGGATCTCATCCTAGTGTTTATGTCAGTGTGGGGTGTACACTCGGTGCACCTCTTCCATAAAAGTCTGTAATCGAGACAAGAGCGCTGCCAGGCTGTACTGTAAGAGCCTGAGACCCTTTTTGCCCTTGGTTCTGGCCAATGAGCTGACTGCTCTTCGCAGGACCTGGTCAAAGTACACCACAGCTTCCTTCGGGCCATCGACCTGTCCATGATGGCGGGGGGCAGCACCCTAGCCAAAGTCTTCCTTGACTTCAAGGAGAGGTGAGTAGTGGGTGGCCTCATGGCACCTCAGCCCCTCCCCATCTGCAGAGCCATGAGGACATGCCTGGGGTCCTCTTGGGGGTCCACCCTGGGGTGAGACATGGGGCTCCAGGCACTTTTGCAGGATGTGAGACTTAGCTGTCACTGTGAGGTGTTTGGTCACCGTTCTGACTGGATTCTGTCCTGGTTTCTAAACTGAAGGCACTGTCCCCACCCTCCCAGAATCTGTGAGGATAGATAGGCAGCCCCACGAGCTTGGCTGGATGTGCTGTCTCTGTCATCCTGTGAGGTCTCAGTGTCTGGGCGAAGTTCACTCCACATATGTCCAGGGGAGTTGGACCACCCAGGAAAGGCTGCCCCTTACAAGCTCTCACCTGTGAGGGAACATGGGCAGTACTTGACTGCTTCTGAGAAAGACACACCCAAGCCCACTCCATGCAGGTGTGGGTGAGGGGCTGGGGGCTCCAGGGCAGAGCAGTGATCCAGGGGTGGCATGTAGTATGGTGGTCCCGAGGAATCTCAGGATGGGGGCCCTGCCCAACACATGACACTGAGCCTCAGCATCCTTACCTGCTGGTGAGGGGTGGGGATGGAGTTTGTGCCCTACAGTGTTTGTGATGGTTCAGTGACACAAATTTCTGTCCCCAATATGACCAGTGTGCACTCAGTAAGTGGCTGCCTGGCCTGGGCGAAAGAGGGGCTGGATTGTGTGGCAGTCACAGACAAGATGGCCCGTGCTTGGAGGGTATTCCCAGGAAGCAAGCAGAGTCCTAGCTCTTTGAGCTGAGCTCCTGTTGTCTTATCCATGGCTTCATAGCTACGGTCTTTATGGGAGTAGATTCCTAGGAGCAGCTGGTAGGCTTGAACCACCAGCCTTTTGGTCAGCACCCCAGCAGTTAACCACTGTGCCACTAGGGCTCCTTAGCCACGGGTATAAGGATTAGGGTTCTAACATTTAATTCTGAGAGACATATTTAGGCCTGTAACAGATTCAGACCTCACTGAGGAGAAGAGATAGAAGCTGGCACACATGTGACCAGGGGAAGAGGGAAGGTGGGAATGAGGTAGCCATGTTGGACCCACATCAGTCAGTTTCAAGGGGCAATGATGCCGCCATCTTGGGAGCAATGCAGTACACAAGGTTGCTGCTTTTGCATTTGCAGCCAGACTGTCTTAAGTAGAGTGACGGGCAGGGCCGCCCTCCCTGGGAGCCTCAGGGGTCGTGTGGGCTATCCCCAATGTGCCCTCCTGAGACACAGGATGCATGGGGTCCTTTTTTTTATTTTTTTTAACTCTCTTTCCAAGTTCTGGATGTATTTTCTTAGTAGATGCATGTGGTTACCATGAGGCCTGTAAGCTTGCTTCCTTGACTGACTTCCTCAAATAGGCTTTGTTGTTGTTGTTGTTATGTGCCGTCGAGTCAGCCCTGACTCATAGCGACCCCTCCTTGGGTTTCCGAGGCAGTATCACTACGGAAGTAGGATTGCCCAACCTTCCTTCCGAGGAGTGGCTGGTGGGTTTGGACCGCCAGCCTTCTGGTTAGCAGTCAAGTGTCTTAGCCACTATGCTACCAGAGCTTCTTAGGAATCTTTAATGTCTTTGGATTTTCACAATAATGTCAAGCTATGTCCCCTAGGCTCAGTGCCTTGGGCTTGGTGTGGAGCAGGCTCAGAAGCACTTCCAACACAGAGATAAACCCCCTCATGGTTCTGGAGCCAGAAGTCCAAAAGCAGGGTACGGACAGGGCCACGTTCCCTCCACAGGCTCGAGGGGAGCACCCTTCCTTGGCTCTTCTGGGGGTCCGTGACTTGTGGCTGCATCACTGCGGTCTGTGCTCCATCCTCACATGGTCTCTCCTCTCTTCTAAGGATACTGTTCATTGGATTTAAGCCCTCTCTGACCCAATGTGATTGCATCTTGATCTCTCCCTAAATCACATCTGCAGAGACCCTAGCTCTAAATGAGATCACATTCTCAAGTTCTGGTGGACATGGATTTTGGGAGAATGCTGTTCAGCCCAGTCCAGGGCACCTCTGGCTGGTTAGCTGAGTCCTCAGCCAGCTCACACTGCCCACAAGTCAGCAGGAGGTGTATGAGTGGCCTTCATTTGTGCTACTGTTGGGTGAGGGCAAGAGAGGGCTCCGGGCTCCTTGGTTACCCTTCTGACTTGGAGAGAAAAGAGTACTGTTGCTGGGGCCTCACTGTGGGTTCCAGAGACAAGCTGTGTGGATTTGCTGCAGTATCTGGCCCCGCAGTTAGTTGCTGAGTGACTTTGAAGAAACTCACCTCTCTGAGCTGCACAGGGCCCCATCCTATAAGTGGCATTGGTGAGGTCAGACATGACATGTCCTGTGGTCTCAGTCCCTCTTAGACCCTTGATGGAGGCTTTTTCTTTTTCTTTCCCTGTGTTCTCCTTCTGGCTAGGAAGGGCTGAGGTTCTCTCCCACCTTCTGCCCACTCCTGTGGGCATGCAAGGCGGCACCTCCCGGGACATGGGCCTTGCTGCAGGGCATCAGTGGTGGTGAGCTGTGCTTTAGGTGGGCACCAGGGCAGCGCTTCCCTGGACACAGAGCTTGTCATGGGGTATCAGCAAGGGGAGCTGTCCCCCAGGTGGACAGGAGGCTCACCATGGGGCATTTATCTTCATCATGTCCAGTGAAGCTAAGCTTCCATGCCTACTCAGATTAGATTGAAGTGCTAGAATCATGGAATCTCAGGCTTTCAATGCTGGAAGCTTCCTGGTAGGCCAGCACTGGGGAGAGTTCTCCCGGTGGCTGAGGGTATGCTAGCTCCTCAGCAAGGCCCACAGGCTGTGGATGACAAAGGGCCTCGAGCTTCCAGTGGCACATGGAGCCATGCATCCTGGGCACTCACTGAGAGCCTGGACGTGCTCCTTAAAATGTCACCCATGCCCAAGCCAGGTCTGCTCTGAAATTCTGGGTTGTCTGGGTGGAAAATGTGTTCTGAGCTGCTGCCCTGGGCCTTACTGACTCTGGAAGTTTTGAGCTGGGACAATTGTGGGCATTGTCTTATCCAAACCCTCATTTTGAAGCTGAGGAAACTGAGGTCCAAGGGAGAGACCTGCCCTGGGGCCAGTTATGGCCAAGCCAAGGCTCTTGGTGCTCAGTCTGCCATGGTCAATATGGGCCCCTTGGTCCTGCAGCAAGAGCCTTGGGCAGTCTGTGGGACAGGCTGCTCCTCTGAGTGCCACTTCCACAGAGTTGAGCCAGCTGTAGGCCCTACTGGTGCTCCGAGTGGCTGGCTGGCTGCCCCGGGTGAAGCAGCATTCAACAGTGGGCAGAGAATGGCCCTGAGGTCACCTTGACCAGTTCCTTAGAGATGGTCCACACTGGAGCCAGGCCAGAGCCATGTGCCCTCCTCCACTACCCCACAGGGCAGCACTGGAGTGTCCTGGAAAGGACCCAGCCTTCGTGTTGACAAAGCCAGGCCCGTGGCTGGCTACACCCCTTACAAGTTGGGTGCCTTTTAACAAGTTTATTAAGGCCTTGGTTTTCCTACTTGAAAAATGGGGCTAATGGTACCACCTTTGTAAGTTGGTCTACCACCCATCTCCTGGTTTGTCAAGCTGTGGTGGTTGGTGCATAATGCTGGAAGCAGAGTCACCCATGGTGGACAGGTTTCATTGGAGTTTCCAGACTAAGACAAGGAAGAAAGGCCTTGACCTTCTTCTGGAAATTAGCCAATGAAAGCCCTGTGGAGCACAAGAGAACATTGTCCAACTTGCTTGCTTTGAACACATTGTCATCAGGAGGGATCAATCACTGGAGGGGGACACCATGTTTGGTGAAGCAGAGGACCAGCAAGGGTAAGAGAGACCCTCAGTGAGATGAATTGACACAGTAGCCACCATGATGGACTGGAACATGCTGGCGATTGTGAAGATGATGCAGGACCAGGCAGCATTTTGTTCTGTTGTACACGAGGTCTCCAGGAGTCAGCTGACTCGATGACAACTATCTGTTGTAGGAACAACAGGGTCCTTACCCCTTGTCGTGAAGAGCCAATGATCTCAACAGGTTGAAGCGGGAAAGTAAAAGGTTTATTGAGTATTGATACCCAAGGAGACGGAGAGAATCATGTCTCTAAAATGTCTGTCTCCCCACGCGGAGTGGTGAACAGGATTATATAGGGAAATGGGAAGGGAGTTGAACATCCCTTGGACGGCCAGGAATGTCTTTGTTCTTCTCTTCCCTGGTTACTCCAGACTCAGCGTCCCTTTTCCCAGGGTCGTCTGCTTCCTAGGCTGTGGTTCTCAGCTGATACCAGTGGTGGGAGAGAGTTATGCTTGAAAGAAGACATAATTGAAAACAACAAACCTAAAGAACTCTGTGTCTGTAAAGAGGTTGGCTATTCTATTTACTTAAAAGAAAGCAAAAGAGAGGGAAAAATAGCAAGTTAGTCACTATGATGAATGAATGTCTAATCATGCCTGCTAGTCTGTTCAAGTTCTGCAATTTTCAGTGAGGGGCCCCTTCAGCCTTCAACTTCAGCCTTCCATGTATCTATCTACCTGTCATCTATCTAAGGAGCTCTGGTGGCATAGTGCCTAAGGCATTTAACTGCTAACCAGGTTGGCAGTTCAAACCCACCAACCACTCTGTAGAAGGAAGACTAAACAATATCCTTCAGTAATGATTTACCACCTTGGAAACCCAAAGGGGGTCTCTGTGAGTTGGAATCAACTCCATGGCAGTGAGTTTTGTTTTGTTTTGTTTTTTAATCTATCTAACTAGCTAGTTATCAATCATCTACCATGCATCATCTATCTATCTACCATCTGTCTATCTATCTTACAAGTTGATATAAAGATTGTAACACGAGGCAAAGCATCTGCATGTGGTGGCCTTGTAAGTAGTGACCCTTGTCATTGTCATTGTTCTTACCCACATGGTCACCCTGCAGTTTTGTACTCAAAGGTTTATGCTGCAGCCAAGTGATGTGATTGAAAAGTGTGGAGACTTGGGCACATGGCCCAGGCCCTGAGCATTCTGGGTGCAGGTGCTGGGGGTTCTGGTTTGTAGTGAGGTTGGCCACAGGGACAGTACTGGGCCCAGCATCGGGATAAAGGAGAAGGGAGCATGAGCAGAAGAGAGCAGTACAAACAAAGTGCTGGGGTGAGAATCACAGAGGCTGTGGGGTCGGGATGAGTGGCCCAGGTGGAGAGCAGGTGCGGGTGGAATGAGGGGAGCCAGAGTGGGGTTGGGGGTGGGCGACTGTGTCCCGAAGGTCTTCTGTTTCTGTGACTCCCTGTTCCCTTTGCACTGCAGCCACATGGCCACTCCTTTTGTGACAGGGAGAGGTGGGGTCCTGGGCAGGTGGGATACAGGCCAAAGGTGATGCTTTGTGGAAGCAGTAAGAAAGGCCATGGCCTCAGGGGTCACCCTCCCAAGATATTGAAGGGGCACCACACCAGGGTGAGTGCTAAGCTGGGGTGAGTGCCAGGCTGGTCTGCCTGCCTAGGAGGCGAGGGTCCCCTCCTCTCCAGTTTGGTCCTTCTCAGGATGAAGTGGACATTGGGAATGCCACCTCTGAACCTGGCTATAAACTCAATTAGAACCACAGAAAGGGGTCTCTCTGGGCTGGGTAGGAGGGTGCACCGTTCTTGCCCACTTTGGCAGCCCTCTCCCTAGGTAGGTGGGCCTTCAGGAAGGGGAAGAAAGCAACCCCAGGAAAGAGTGAACTGGTGACCTTGCAAATGTATGAGTAGCCCCCATGGCGGGTGAGGACCGTTCACTGTATGTTTGCAGCTTGGGGTGGAGAGCAAACAGGCTCACTGCTGCCATGAGCATCTTACATTGTGATATGTGTGTATGTGCATGTGTGTGCTTGTGTGTGTGCACATGAGTGTGTATCTAGGCTCCTCATCTATGGAGAATACTGCAGCCACATGGAGCATGCCCAGAACACGCTGAACCAGCTCCTCGCTGGCCGTGAGGACTTTCGGCAGAAAGTCGAGGTAAACGACCCACCAGCCCCCAGCTTCTTTCTTATCCCCTGAGGGGAGATGTTGAGGGGCAGGTGCTTACTGTTGGTAGGTGTTTTAGTTGATGATTTTCCCCTCTGCATTTCATTGGCATGGGAAGGGAGGTGCTGCCCCAGGTAGGGCACAATTGGAGCCCAGAGTAAGATCGAGCTGGGGCCTCTGTAGGGACAAGGCTGAGACCAAATCCAGACTTTGCTGGAGCCTGTGACTGGACCTTGGCCCTGACCTGTGCAATCCCAAGGGCCCAGGTGGTGTTTGCTGGGAGCTGTGGAGCCTCCCAAGGAAAGCTGGTGGTACAGTGATTAAGTGCTTGGCTGCTAACCAAAGGTCAGTGGTTCGAACCCACCAGCAGCTCTGCAGGAGAATGATGAGTCAGTCCAGTCTGCTTCTGTAAAGATAAACAGCCTTGGAAACTCCAGGGTGCAGTTCTTCTCTGTCCTTCAGCATAGCTGTGAGTCGGGAAAAGAGCCCTGGTGGTGCAGTGGTTAAAAGCACTTGGCTGCTAACCAAAAGTTGGTGGTTCAAACCCACCAGCCACCCCATAGGAGAAAGATGTGGCAGTCTGCTTCTGTAAAGATTTATAGCCTTGGAAATTCTATGGGGCAGTTCTATTCTGTTCTGAGTTGGAATCGACTCCTTGGAAGTAGGGTTGGTGGTTTTTTTTTTTTTTTTTTTGGGTGGAGGTTCTCATCCCCACCCCAGGCTTGGGACCTGCTCAGCCAAATGTGGGGTCTCCCATGAGGGGCCCTCAAGACCCTCTTGTCAGGGAGCCCATGTGCCCCAGAGGCTGGAGTTGCTGTGTTTCATTTAGTCAGTGAAACCTTGTTTTTCAAAAGAAGCCTGGTGCTTGGCTTCAGGGTGGGGATGCTCCCCTGGGAGACGCTGATGCCTGAGGGACAAGTCCCGGCAGCCAGTGAGGACACCCTGGTTCCTGAGCACAAGCCTCCTCAGTGTGAGCTAGCCTCCTGATTGGCCTGTCCTGGGAACCCGTTTGGGAGGTAGACAGAGGTTGAGGCCCCTCGAGCAAGAACCTAGTCCTGAGGAAGAAGCCAGAGGTTTCCAGGCAGGCCCCTAGTGTCTCACCTGCTGTGTCCTCCACCCTCTGCACATGCCTCACTGGGAGGAGGTCCTGGAGCCTGGCAGCCTGAGTTCAGAGCTGGGTCCCCTCCCACCCTGGAAGAACCAAAAACCAAATCGGATCCGACTCACAGTGACCCCTCCTTGGCTTTACAAGGTGGTATCACTATGGAAGTAGATTGCCTAACCTTCCTTCCGAGGAGTGGCTTGTGGGTTTGAACTGCCAGCCTTCTGGTTAGCAGACAAATGCCTTAGTCACTAGGCTATCGGAGCTCCTGGGAGAGAGAGGGGGTAACAGGGGGGAGGCAGAGCTTCCTGTGGATTGGGGCTTTCCCAGTGGGGGTGGAGCTCCCTGGGCTAGGGCGGACTTGCCATGGTTTGGAGCTTCCAGGTGGGTAGGTGGAACTTCCCAGGCAGGGGTGGAGCTTCCTGGCTGAGCTGTCCTCATGAATCATCATCCCCCTTGCTGCCCCAGGAATGCACGTTGAAGGTCCAGGATGGCAAGTTCAAGCTGCAGGACCTGCTCGTGGTGCCCATGCAGAGAGTGCTCAAGTACCACCTCCTTCTAAAGGTGAGCCTGCTCAGCCGGTGCCTTCTGGGGGCGTGTGAGGTGTAAACTGAGGAAGGAAGTTCTTAGCATGGAGTCACTGCTCCATAAATGCCAAGTACAGTCATCACAAGTCAGTATACACAGAAGAATTAGGATTATAAACAGTAGCTAGACTGAAAACCGAGAGATAGAAAAGCATCCGGCAGCCCAGGGAGGAATGCAGCCACTTGACTGCACCCTTGGCTCCTCTCTGAGCCCCCTAGTGGCCACAGCAGGAAGGGAAATAGGATGGGCCCCGGGGGAGGGGCAGAATGAGCCTCTAGTGGATCTGCCCAGTGGCCTGGAGCCTCACTCCCTTACTTTTTGCACCATCACATCCCTTCCAATGTGATTTGCTGCTCCCCCATCATCCACAATATTTGGGGATACACTTACTGCAAAGTGGTCCCTCCTGTCTGCTGGAGGTGGGAGACTGGGAGATTAGAGCCTGGGTGACTTTGTTCCAAGGACATGGCTATGGGGCAGGGTTTGAAGGCCGGGACCCCTGACCGAATGCTGACACCCCCCTTCACCCCTCCAGGAACTTCTCAGCCATTCCACTGACCGGCCTGAGAGACAGCAGCTCAAAGAAGCCCTGGAAGCCATGCAGGTAAGGGTAAACTGAGGCAGGGAGGGGCAGAGGCCACATGGAGCTGACTAAGCACCACACCCGTGTTCTTTGACTCATGCCCTGCCCACCATTTTCCTGAGATTGCAGGAGGCAGGGCAGGGTAGAGTAAAACTCACTTGAGGTAGCTGTGGTAAGTAGAGGGGTGGCAAGCCATGGCTCACTCCTAGTGTCCAACCCCACCCTGAATCCTCAGTTCCCTGGCCCTTGGCTCCAGTTCTGAGCTGTCTGGCATGGGGCTCCCTGCTGCCCAGACCTTGGATACTGCTTCTAAAATGCTCACCACCATCTACTCCCTCGCCCAGTGCCTAGGCTGCCCCCACCCTTCTCTGGTGACTACAGTGAGGGCCCCCAGCCTGCCACGCCTTCCTGCCTTGACCTTCCCACCCTCCAGTTATGCTCCCTGAGGGGATGCTCATGTCACGGCACTCCCCTGTTCCAACACCCTCGGCAGCTGCCCATTGCCGGCGGCGTTAGGCACAGACTCCCTCACTTGAGCATAGGCCTATACAAGGCACTACGATGTGCTCTACAGTGTTTTCTCTGAATGCCATGTTCCAGGTCCACTCGGCCACTCCCAGTCCCCTACATGTGCTTTTCTTTTCCAGCCCTCTAGGTGAGGTCCCCTCTTCCTTCCTTCTCCTTCCTCTAGAGAGAGCCTTCCTTGGGGAATGCGGAACAGAGAGGCCTGTTCCCTGCAGCTTCCCGTTGGACCGAGGGGGCCCACCCAGGAAGTCTTAGGCCTCTTGGCATCCCCTTCTGATTGTGTGTAAACATACAACTTCAAGCAAAAGCACATGTGCATGCGTGGGTGGCCACGAGGCTGGGCCAGGGATTCTGATTCTGTGCTGTCCACCACTCCCATTCTCCTTTGTTTCCATGGAGCCCTGGGGATGCTCTGGGGAACCTAGTCAT